AAATATCGAAAAATATACAGCGCGCGAATTTTAAATGAGAATTTCCGAAAACTTTTCGGTCTTAATGTAAAAGTCCAAACTAAGCATAAAATTTGTTCAGTCTTTCACAGGAGTGCTCATGTTAGGCAGGCGATCAAATGATCGTTGATCCAACATTTGTTGTTACTTTCAAAGTTTTCAATTTTTCAACTTATATTAAAAGTGTGGCAAATGTGGTGATGAAGGATCATTTGATCATCTCCGTAACATGGCCCTTAACAGAAATTCATTTCTTAAATTTTGCCTAGCTATAAAAATTTAAAGCAATACGCAAAGAAACTTTACATTGTATTGAAGAAACTAATGACGCTGCGTCTTCTCTTCACAACAATGGTTTTGAAAAGCTCTCTCTTGAAAGCTGTTTAAACATTGGGCAGTTTTAGGCACAGAAAACCTATAATTTTCTGATTAAAAACTTTGTACTGGTTCGAACATCTATATGATTATGTTGTCTCTCGTTTACGTGTAGTTATATTAATGGGACTTATACAACCACTTGTACTAGTATTTTTCCAAAACTTAATAACAAATGTCTAGTAGGATCATGTGAGGCCCTATGCTCCACTCGGAGAGAAGGATAGCAGCATATAAGTAAGTAAGTAGGATCGTGTAATAGGATGATATAATGTAAAACACATACCCATAACATTTTACAATGAAAGACAAGTTTTAGCTTAATAACATACAAGTTTTTCTTTTAAATAAATATTCAGTGCAGGTAATTAGAGAGAGATTTTCTGATATACATACTTATACAAGAAGCCTAGTCTAATCGCAAATGACTTGTTGTAAAACTATATATAACGAAATTTGAAATTCTTGGACATTAAATAAGCAGCAAAGAATGGAAACAATTAAAATACTTTGCAAGAAAGCTCAAATCTCTCATAAAGGTAAGGAAAAAAGTAACCATTGGGGACTAGTGGGTAGTAGTCAAACTAATATTGAATGAGATCAGTCGCTAATGGCTTGAAATGAACTTTATATAATGAAATTGGCACAACAAACTGAAATCAATTACAAACTTTTTCAGATAGCTTAGGAGTTATACTAATATTATGTGAGAGTCTTTCATTTAATTAGTTAGTATCAAAATTATATTAAGTTAACATAATGATAAAGATAGAAAGAAATAGTATGTTATAAAATACAGAGCAAATAAAATTTCAGAAACAAATGAAATAATTTAGGTTAAATCTAATGTTTTATGAATGTGAATTCAACATAATAACATAATAAATCAAAATGTGAAAAAAAATTAAAAAAACAAAATATATATATCTTTTTTATATAAATAATTTAAATTTAAAAAATTAACTATATATATATATACTCTTTGAGAAATCAAAAAAAAAAAAAAAAAAATGCGTTACATTGAACTACTCATCGGTCTGATTTTCAAAAATATATCATAATATTTTTTTTAGGTTGGACAGAGTAAAAATATTTAATTGTACAATAAGTTTAATCAGTTTTAATTATACCAAATAGTATATAACAGCTAATATGATATGAATCTGTTGGCCTTCTATCTAATAACGATATTTTTTATTACTATAAGTAATAAATTATATTATTTATTAAATTTATTTATTTTACCAATTAAATTAATTATTAAATTGTAATAATTATTAAGTTTATATTGAAGTAATTAATATTGATTGAATTCAATTAATATTGAATATTGAATATTGAATATTAATATTAAATTAATTCTTAAATTGAATGATTTTTTAAATTAATAATTAATTAAAATTATATATTTATCATATTTAAATTTAATTTAAATATCGACAGAAATAACGAAATATCAGAAGTATTTAATTGAAGATATTAACACAACAAAAGAAACCAATGAAATCAGTGGGATCCAAAACGGTATACACAAATAATAGTGCTAAACGACATCAACAATAAGTTTCGGTAACATATACCGATTTACAAAGGAATAAAGTCGTATCTGGTTGGCAGAAATCATACGAAATTAGCTAGAAATGTAAAATACTTCAATCGGAGTAAAAATATATATCGTGCCACTTTATAATATGTCTCCTTTACAGCGTTATAAACATCTTAACTTAGCAAACACTTTATCTAAATATTGTAAAAAATCAAACAAAATACCAACTAAAAAATACTAACATATAATTAAAATTTAAAATAACAATGAAAAACAAAAAAAAGAAGAATTTGTATGAAACATGGTAAAAAAAAATGTTTATAAGTAAATAAATATTTGATAAATTTGTAACAAACCATTCGCGTTTTCCTCAACCGGTTCTTCAGCATCTGCCACTTCCTCTGTAACCTTTTCTAGCTCAGCTTCCTTTTCTTTCTCCATTTCAGCTATAGCAGCTTCATCTTCTTTTTCTGCATTTTCTCTAGCGAGTATAGCTTGTTCTTTCTCAGCATCCGTCACTTGTGTTTCCGTATCATCCGGTATAAGGCAGACATCAGATTCTTCTGGTTCTTGTACATTTTCGACTGGTTCTAAATAAGCATAATGTTAAAAGTTTTATTTTCACATATTAAAAGTACTACGTATAAAAAATTTTACCATCTTCATGTTCTGCTTCTTCTTCTTCTGCAGTTTCTGTGTCTTCCGTTTCAATAGTATCTGCAACACTCTTTTCTGTGTTATCTGTTGCAGCGGTGACATCTTCGTTATCCACGTTATCAGCTTCAGTTATCGAATCAACAACTCCACTTGTGGTTGGCTCATCCGTCAATTCTAACGTTCCTATATCCTCAATGCTTTCAATTGTTTCATTATTTTTTTCATTTTCTTCGGTTTCTGTGACTGTACTATCATCAACAACATCTTTACCATAGCTGTCATCAGCATCTAACTCAACAGGATTCTCTTCATCTACTGTTTCATTCACATCTAATATATTTGAACGCAATTCTTCTTCCTCTGCCTCTGTAGAGTTTTCAGTTGTTTGTTTATCGACTACAGGCGAATTACTCACTGAACGCATTTCAACATCAGCTACCTCCTCATGCTCTTCTTCATCGTTATTATCAATTTCCATTGCCAAATCTGATGGTTTAACTGCAACTTCGTCATCGTTTGTTATGTTTGTAGGAAGTGTCATATCTGATTCACCTAACATATCTGATTCATCAGCTGCGGATGTACCACTTGCTAATACACTTGCATCAACTTCCTCAAAATCTGCCGACTGCTCTACATCCGCATTTTCTTCAACACTTTTGTCATTATCAACATTATCACTGTTGTCAACATTTTCGATGTTACTTTTTTCCACAAGACTGAATTCAGCTTCAAGTTCTTCCTTTGGTTCTAGTTTGTCTTCCTCTATACTATCTTCGTAGAGTAATTTCTCTTGGTAGCTTTCATCACCTTGTTGATCAACTGGTGTGGCTCTAGAATTATCATTTACTTCGCACTTATCATCAGAATTTTTTTCAACTTCATCACTGGTTGTCGGTACAGTTACTTCCTTTGAACTATCACCTTTTCTGGCATCTGTATCTATCGGAGCATCTGTATCTATTGGGGCTTCTGTATCTATTGGAGCATCTGTATCTATCGGGGCATCTGTATCTATTGGGATATCTGCATCTATTGGAGCATCTAATGGTGCAGCTGTTGGTGTATCTGTTGGATTATCTGCTGGGACATCTAGTGTTGCTGACGTTTCCGGTAGTTCAGATTCTGGTCTTGCCAATGAATCAGTAATATCCGTTGGAAACGAGTCTAAGCTTGTAATATCTTCCATTGAATGTTTTAAGATATACCTCCGTAGATAAATAGTTAAACATTAACTGCAAAAAAAAAGAGTTTTAAACTTTGTAAAACTGTTTAAATTTATTTCTTCTATTTTTAGAATATTTTTTCTATTTTTCGATATTAGATTTCAAGGTAGCAATAATTAAAGTTTCGATGTTGAAACCGTCTTATATTTTTTTGTGGAATGTGACTTCAAAATAAAGCATTTTTAACTATTAGCACTTTTTAAAAATAACACCTATTTCCTGTTTAGTGCTGCTTAGAACCACATTATTTGAATTGGGGTTTCCCAAAAAAATTCAACAGCATTATTATTATTATTGTTTTTATTGTTGTAACTCGCTTCGCAGATCTACCAAACAGGCAGATAAATAAATTTTCAGACAGTCCACAGAGAAGGGTTTGGATGAATGATAAGATTAGGAAAATTATGTGGAATGAAGAAACGGGTTTCAAAAGTGTAAACCCACAAGCTATCTGGGCTAAAATTAGTGTGTGTAGTTTAAGTAATTAAATAAAATATTTCGACGACGTTGTGTGTGGTAATTCTGTAGTTGGAGAACATTTAAAAAAAAAAGCTTATATCATAATATTATCAAAATCTGCATATAATAATTAATAAATATTTATATTTTCCTTTAAAACCGTTGATAATGAAATAGATATATACAAGAACAATTTTAATTAAACCGCTCTAACTAAAATCGTTTAACTGAAGGTAGATAAAAGTAGGTAATGTAAATTCAAGTATCAGATATTAATACAATTATACTGTAATATTATTCAAATTGAAACCAATAGCAAAATATTTCAAATTATTTTTTTCGCATTTTATATTGAATTTTATATAACCACATAATATTACTATTTCTTACTGATTTTAATTTAAGAACCATTACACTATCGTGAAAATAGTGTAAATATATATCTTCATAACCAAGCCAGTATAGAGTACTAACTTAACTAAAAATATTCTCACATGGCCACTCTCAAAATATATTTTCCCGCCGTTGTGACGCGCAACTAAATTCTTTGCGACAAACAAAATCGAAGTAACAAAGCGAATATCAAGAGAGTATCACATTATCGAAAGGAATTATATATATTACAGAACAAAGGGCTTATACCGAGTTATTTACTTTATCATTTTTAAAACCATAAAATAAAATTTATAAAATTTGCTTGCATTTTACATTTATTTACCTTAGTGTAACAATTTGGTTGAAACACCAAAATTAGTTTTTAAAGTAAATGGCAATACGCCACAGTAATGTAATAAACGAAATGTACAGCACTCACAGTGGGACCTGACGATTAATACATACTATAATAAGCGAGGAATATAAATAATCGAAAAAATCAAACACCTCGTTTCACACAGCAAACGTGTTACCAAATTTTTCATAAGTAAATATTTCTATTACTTTAGAGTTTTCTCAATAAAACTTATTTATATAATTTAAAAGTAATAATATCTTTTATTGAACGCATATGTGTAAGCGACGAAAAACTGCACTGCATAATAAGGCGAACTATGTACAAGCGGGAAGGGAGCACTGTCAATTTTTATTTCTTTTCATACACTTTTTGTTATTAAAATAATGTTATATGTTCCGTATATTTTTTTAGAAATTTAAAATGTATACACTTTTTTATTATTTAAAGTATAAATTTTTATTATATATTCATCTGAAAACATACAAAACGTACAGCCCAATTCGTCGGCTTTAGTGCACATATACGCCAAAAAGACAATTAATACAACTGTGCGTCTAGTACAATCAGACATAAAAATGGCGTTCATACTATTTTGTAAATTGTTCGGAAACTGAATGCCAAACTGCTTACTTTCAAAAATTGAATATTTTTTTATTGCATTATTTTATTTATTTTTCAAAAAATATAAACTTAGAATTAAATAAAGAATTTAATAGAAAATATTTATTTAGTATGCAATGTTATTAAAAATTAAGTCTTCAGTTTAAAGATTATTTAAAACTGACCACTCACGTTGTAACGTAAGTGAATGACATCGTGGTAAGTAAAATGTCAAAAGCATGCCGATGCGTATATTCAACAATTTTATAAATACGTGTGTACGTGTATAAATATAACACGCTTATGCTATGGTTAATAAGTTATTTCATGTGCGCATTAAAAAATATTACTTTTTAATTTTGAAATTCGTAGCAACTAATATTTTATGCAAATTTTTTTTTACATACAATTTGACAATTCACAAAAACCCAATTCGTTCCGTTTCATACCTTGTCGTTTCACGTATGTGATATAAACAAAAAAAACAGGCAGAGTTTATTTTGGCTATTGCAATCAGCATATAACTATAAATTAAATATAATTTAATTGAAAATATTGTAATTCTAGATTTTATAATCTAAAATATAAAAATAATATATATAACAAGTCATAGGTAAACTCACTTGTCAATTATTAGCTCTCTCGATTCAGCGGCACTTACAAGCACTTTACCACTTTGAATTGCAAAATTGGACTGAGACATGAAACAGTAAATCATCTGTTTTTATGCTTATAAATTATCACACATTTTCAAAATAATTTTTGCAATATAATTATAAAATAAAATTTTAATTTTGTGTATATGAATTTTTATGGTCCTCAAAAATGAACTCCAATACAACAAAATATTCAAAAAAAGTAGAAGTTTATTAATTGAACAATTGGTTCAACAATTTTTGAAGCTGTAGGGATATAATATTTCCAATTAGTAATTATACATAAATATATATATATATATATATATATGTATGTATATACTTTTTTGTGTACTTAATTACATGTATAATTACATATCAATATTTGTATGCTTATCCTAGTACTTAAATGCAACCATGTTGCTTTGTATGGTCAAATAAAAATATTTGTATATTAATCAAGATAAGGACGGTTTGCCAACAATATCTTAGAGAAATATCAATATCTTGTTCTGGATAAAAAATCAAATTGAATAACTGATAAGCTATTTGAAGTTTTGGCTATTCAGGTTCACATTCACGAATCCGTGATGGTGGGCGATGGTGATTTAGAAAAATATTACCAGAAATCCGTTTTTCAAATATTTTCTGAATTTATTTTATTTTTCTATTTTACATTGTGCTAAATGGATAATAAATTGAGGTTGAATAGCATAAAACTATGTTCACTTGTAAATATTTTGTTTACACTCTCAAGTGCATTAAACTATACCCAGTAAAGAATAAAGATATAGGAAGGCGAACTCCTAAATAAATTAATAATTATATTGCAATTTCATATTTATTGAATTGTGTCCAAACCATATATAAATATTTCGAAGAAAATGCATCGTTAAGTTCCATTTTCAATTTATGTGCAAAAAAAAAATGATATCAAAAATCTATTTTGATAATTTAACCTAATTTAAACCCTACGCAAGGAATTTGGAAGTGATCTTAAATATGAGGTAGAAATGATTGGTAAATTTCGTATGAGAAATCTACTGAATTGAATTTTCAGAAATCTGCCAATTAACTAGCTTCAGGTATTTCAAGGATTGTGTTACAAACTCTAGAAAGCCAAGAAGGGACAACTAATTTTAATCAGTTATGTAGTTGATACTATTCATTGTAATTGGTTATACGCCTGCCTAGTCGATATGTTAATTCTGGACAAAGCCTAATTGTGCTTTATTAAGCAGGCAGGGTTTTTTTTTGTTTTTGATAAAACATATATGCATGTTAAAGTCAGAATGTTTCTGTTTTCTGCAAATCGTTTTCGTTACAGTTATTTTATTTACTATGTGAATACATTTTATTCAGTAAAAACTTTTCTTGTATGTTTAGTTTATAATTTATTTAACATTGGTTTGGGGATACAAGAGGTTGATTTTTCACTCATAGTTGATATTATAATGATTGTGGTATTGTATTTATTAGTTTCCTTACAGTTAAATGTTAACAGAACGGTTTGGTGCCATGATTTCTAGAGGCGAATAAAATATTATTTTAAAAAATCTAAATATCTTATATTCACAGCGAAACAGATATTTTTGATTACTATATCAATTATTTTTTTTGTTTGTATAATTAAAGTAGAATTTAATATTAATAGTAATTATAAAAATGTATGTTTTATGTACAAATATTTGTTTTCTATATATATGTTTTATTTATAGTTTTTATAAGTGTATATATAAATATATATATATATATCTATTATATATAGATGAATTGATATATTTAAATAACTTAAACGAAATTTTGTAAATTTATGTTTCTTATACATAATATCTTTAACCTTAGGTTTAACAAAATTAAAATTAAATATGGAAGCAATGTTACATATGGTTAAATCTATAAACAAAAAAAAATTATTTTCATGAACATTGCGGAGTGAACAAAAATTTTCAGTATTTAAGTAAACTGTATAATTAAGAAATATATTACAAAGAGTTGATATATTTGTTGCTATTTATATAGTAACAGGAACATATAAAAACTTTTTCACTACCAACGCTCGTAGCGACAAAATATGTGAGAACAGTTTGACGGCAGGACCCAAATGAATTGCTAAATCGTCTGTTAGATTACTTTGTGATAGCATCAGTAGAGCCGTACCATCAATTTCCTCATTGGAAAACTTACATGCAACATGTGAGCTTAATATTTTCTCGACGAATGCACACGTTTCCTTTATAGTCCAATTCATTGGATTCGTAGTTATATCGCTCATATTGAAGTCTTGATTCATTTGCCATAAATCATAGGTTTGTAGCAAACGTGGACCATAATCACACAAATAATTTTTAGCAATTTTGATTTCAGGTTGTTCTACCATCAAATCAACAACACTAACTGAATTTCGTCTCTTTCTTGTCATATCCAATTTTCTTTCTGGATGGAAAGCTTCAACTTTTTGTAACCTTGGTTGATTTTGTGTTTCCATAAGAATATTTTGTATTTTACTTGTTTGTTTCTTTTGTACATCAATATTTGTTTTTATAATTGGTTTGCGTATGGTTAGTGAGGAATCTATACGCAATGGTTTTATATTTCTTTTAAACCAGTTTGCTCCGAAATAAGGACAACTATCAACAGTTGTATGAGTGTTTAGGTGACAATTTTTAGCATTTCCAATGCCACGACAACCAGATAGTGTACATAGTACGCTTGTGGTTGAATTTTGATAACATGGTGGTGGTTCAAGTTTGTGATCAGTTCCGTCACACCAGCCGATTGGATGCAAGTCGGGACTATCATCTTCTAACCAGAAGGCATATTCTTTTTGCCATCCTTCAAACAGAACTTTTATACGATGCCCTTTACGACTTATTATATGCGAGGGACGGATAAGTGTTGGATTACATGGGTCAACAACTTCTAATTTCATATGTGGTTTAAAATCAATAGGGTCACGCGGTCTAAAGAATTCCTCTGGTGCTATAACGCCACAACGTTCTTGTTTTATATACTCCGCCCAATCGAAACGAGTGTACTTAAATTTTGGTGGTACTGTTAGTTCTTGACGACTAGAGTGCCAACCACATGGATGTATGTAAGGCGAACATATGTCTACCCAATAATCAAAACAGTATTTATAACCGTCGAAATGTACACGTATACGATCACCCAATACATCGGCAACTGATGCTACGCATATTTGACCATTTCCATTAAGATCTTCAGCTTCTAGGTGCATACCAACCTGTAATTAACAAATAAATAAATCATTACATATAAATAAATAAATAAGTACAACTTTTATAAACTCACCTTAAATGGATTTCTTTCCTGTGAGCTGTCATATTTGAGATGCGTAAATAAATGTTTATAAGCAGCTTTTCCCTTTGTTTTATCCAAGTATATATGCCAATTAAATACTTTATGATCGATGCCTTTTGGTGGTTGCAAAACGCGATTGTTTTTGCTACACCAACCAGGTGGGAATATGTCCATGGAATCAGCATTTACCCAGAAATCGTAAGCTATATCGTACCCATCAAAATGCAATTTCATGCGGAATCCTTGAATTTCCACAATAGTACAAACACAAAACAACGAACAGTTCATTGGATCAATTGCTTCAAGTTTCATTCCCACTTGAAACATATTAGGTGCAACTGGAAAGGGATTTATAAAGAGATGTATTGGAGCAGCTCTACCATTTTTGTCGGAAAGGTATTCTGTCCAGCGGAACGTTCTTTTTGCAATATTGACAGAATTATTACTAGGTACTGGCAAAAAGTAAGTCTCACTGCGTTGACGCTTCGAAGAAATTTGTTTTGCCACAACATTTCCACGACTTATGATTATTGAGCGATTTAAGCATTCAGTGGAACAATATTCTGAAAAAATAAAACAAATAAAATTAATTACTTGAATTTAATTATTTAATGTATTTTATTTCCAATGGATCAGTAATCATGTGTATGAGGAGCAAGAATTTCTTTTTACTTTTAATTATTGATAGGTTTTATAGT